ATGGGAAGGGGCCAAACGTCGTCAGATCTTCATGAGGAACCTGAAGGGGAAGGGGCCAAACATCGTCAGATCTTCATGAGGAACCTGAAGGGGAAGGGGCCAAACGTCGTCAGATCTTCATGGGGAACCTGAAGGGGGGTCGAAACAGTGCCTGGGGAATGGGAGCAAAACATCGTCATCTTCAAGGGGAACCTGAAAGGGAGGGGGTCGAAACAGTGCCTGGGGAATGGGAGGTAATGAGGCCTAATGGAAGGAAAGAATGGGGTAGCTCCAGCTACCTTGAATCAAGAGCCCTTCGTCAGTATCACAACGTCCTCCTGCCCCCTTATACATCCATGATACTGTCAAATTGAGGAGAAATTTCTGATGTGTCACCTTCAGTTAACCTTCACATTTAACACTGAATGTACCATCTGTTCACATTTATTATTTTCGTGGCACGAGATAAACCAGTCTGGGTCATTCGACTCTTCTGGGCAGACACAGACTGGTCAGTTGAGTTTTTAGATATAAAGCCTAGTGCCTAGTCACTCTTAATGATAGTTTATTTACTACAAGTACATGATGCAACTTATACAGACCATAACTGACACCAAAGGCATACTACTATATAGAAAGTCCCTTGTTGTGTAGAGCATTTCCCGTAAATTAGGTCAGTTTTGCCCCCAGGATGCGACTCACACCAGTCTACTAACACCCAGGTACCTATTTTACTGATGGGTGAACATAGACAACAGGTGTAAAGAAACACGCCTAATGTTTCTACCCTCGCTGGGAATCGACCCCGGACACACGCCGTGTAAAGCGAGAGCTTTAGCCCCAGGCTACCAGTGTTAATATGCATTGATCGAAACATTGATGGAATGTTTCGCTGCTAGGGTCTTCGCTACTTGTGGCGAAATGTCTCCCTGATAAGTGTCTTACATAAGAACATAAGAACGAACACTGCAGAAGGCCCACTGGCCCATACAAGGTGGATTTTACCTTCGACGTCTCAGCCTCGTCATTCTGTAGTTAGTTTATATCTCTATTATACTATCCTGTACAGGTGCCACTTGTTGGTTTGATCTGAGGAACTGGAGGTTGGCTTCAGTGCCTTAAATCAAGAATCCTGTACTAGCATCAAGGTTTCCCTTAAATGGTCGAAAGGCTTCAAGCCTGAGAACTCTTAATTAGATGCAAAAATGCGGTTAATGGGTATTGTTTTTGAGAAATTAAACCCCTTTGTTTTTTTTTGAACTTTTGAAAAAATTGGTTTTTGGCCTTGAAAGTTTAGGTACAGTTGGGGCCATTAGGCCCCCTTGTAAGTATCAGTTAACCCTAATTTGCCTTGTAAATTTTTGGGTCAGGGCCCTTTTTGGTCCTCTTTGTAATTTAAATGCCCCTTTTTTGCCCTTAATTTTAGGAATCCCGAGGCCCCATTTTTCCTTGTAAAGTTAGGTACATTTAGATTATTCCCTGATTTTAAGCCCCCAATTGCTGTAATGGGGGGTAAGGACCCTTTTATGTGATTTAAAATTTGTGGGAATCCTGACCCTTTGGACTTTGTTTGGTCTTTTGGCCCTATGTTCCTCGTAAAGGTGGTAAGTTGCCCATTATGCCCTTTGGTGGAATCCCCAATTTTAATCTTTTTTTTGGGTCATTTGACCCCTTTGTTCCTCTTAAAATTTTGGGCAGTCCCTGAGCCCATTATTGCCTCTGTAAATTTTTGGGGGCAGTCCTAACCCCCTTTGTGCCTCTGTAATGTTTGAACAGTCCCCCACCCATTAGGGGCCCCTTAATGTTTTGGGGACAGTCCCTGAGCCCCTTATGTCCCTGTAATTTGGGTACAGCCCCCGAGCCCATTAGTCCTTTAATTTTTTTGGGGAAGCCCTGAGCCCTTATTGCCCCTGTAATTTTTGGTACAGTCCCTGAGCCCTTATGGGATGTAAGTTGGGGTACAGTCCCCCGAGCCCCTTATGTGCCTCTTAAAGTTGTTAAATCCCCGAGCCCATTTGTGCCTTGTAATGTTGGGGTGGGGGTCCTGACCCTTTGTCCTCGTAAGTTTTTGGTTTCAGTCCCTGAGCCCATTTGTGCCTCTTAATTTGTGGTTTCAGCCCTGGCCTTTTGTGCTTGTAATGTTGTGGTACAGTCCCTGAGCCCATTATGTGCCTATGTAATGTTGTGGTACAGTCCCTGAGCCCATTATGTGCCTCTGTAATGTTGTGGTACAGTCCCTGAGCCCATTATGCGCTTATGTAATGTTGTGGTACAGTCCCTGAGCCCATTATGTGCCTCTGTAATGTTGTGGTGCAGTCCCTGAGCCCATTTTGTGCCTCTGTAATGTTGTGGTGCAGTCCCTGAGCCCATTTGTGCCTATGTAATGTTGTGGTACAGTCCCTGAGGCCATTATATCCTCTGTAATGTTAAGGTACAGTCCCTGAGCCCATTTGTGCCTATGTAATGTTAAGGTACAGTCCCTGGAGCCATTATGTGCCTCTGTAATGTTGAGACATAGTCCCTGGTCCCTGGATGGGCATTGGGTACATAATCAAGATATTAAACTAACATACGTTTACTAAGTGTAGCATCTCATTACAGGTATCTAGGATGGTATTTAACGTTAATACAGTGAGAGACAGTGTTGTGAGTACAGCAACAGCAGCAGTGTTGCCTGTGTTGCGCCTCCTGCTCATCACTGTGTTCCCTGAAGCTGGACCAGGAAATTTTGAGTTGAATGGACCTCTTGCTTCCCAGTACGACTTTATAATAGGTAAGAACATTGCTTTGTATATATTTTACACTTTGATACACCCTTCTAGCGAGGAGGCTGGGACAGGAGCTGTGATTCGACCTCTGCAGCCACAATTAGGTGAGTACACACAGGTAAGTAAGTAAGTAAGTTTTATTCAGGTATACACAAATCCAGTTACATAGATTATCATACATAGCAGCATATGTGTAGAGAACCTGGGATAACCCAAAAAAGTCAGACAGAGTGACTTATTTCCATTGGGGTCCTTTTACCTTATTATTATAATATAAAGCTTATAATATTTTCTTATTATTCTACAATGAAGATAATATCTTATTATCATACTAAAAAGACTATCTACTACACGAGGGTCATTAAACTATCTACAATACGAGGTCATTAAGACTATCTACTACACGAGGGTCATTAGACTATCTACTACACGAGGTCATTAGACTATCTACAATACGAGGGTCATTACTAGGAATAAGGTAAAATTTGCACGTATGTTAGCTAAAAAATAGAAAATCATTCTCGTCCCTTTCTGTAGCTACATTCATCAGACACCTTTTGGCAGTCTTCTTGAACTGGTTCATGCTATGACTGGCTTTGACATGTGCGGGTAGTCTGTTCCATTTCTTTATTGCTGTACAATAAAAGGTGTTTGAAGCCTGGCCACTGACTGTGGGTACTACAAACTTGTGTTCTCTCCCCCTAGTACTATGATTGCTTTGGTTCCCAACCTTGACAAAATTGACAGCAAGATATTCTGGACACTGTGAGCAATTTTATAAACATGATTTAGCTTCAGTTGTTTTACTCTGTCTTCAACATTCAGCATATCCAACTGCTGTAATTCATCCTGGCCTACATGTTCTCTTGGTCCCAGCCCCAGGATGAATCTTACGATTTTGTTCTGGGTGATTTGCAGTCTATCTTTCAGTTTTTTTGTCAAAGCAGAGTACCATGAAGAGCAAGCGTAATCCATATGACACTGTATAAGGGCTAGACATAGAGTTTTGTGAGCCTCAGTAGGCAGACACTGTGCCTCAGTAGGCAGACACTGTGCCTCAGTAGGCAGACACTGTGCCTCAGTAGGTAGACACTGTGCCTCAGTAGGTAGACACTGTGCCTCAGTAGGTAGACACTGTGCTTGTCTAATCAGGAACTTCAGTCTGGCATTCGCTTTCTTTACTACACTGTTCCCTATCAATTCTCCTTACATGCATAGGTCAAAGGGGATTCCCAGATATTTTACTGAAGAAACCAAAGTGATGGGCTCCCCATTACACTGGACATTAAAATTATTTACCCTTCTCAGTTTATGTTTCGTGCCAAAGAGAATGGCTTCAGTTTTCCCGAGGTGTAATGATAGTTTGTTGTCTACCAACCATTTGCTGCAGGACTCCAATTCCAGTGTTAAAACATTAGCAATATCTTGTGGGTCTTTACCTGACACTAACAGAGCACTGTCATCTGCATACAGTAGGAGTTTGCACTTGACACTGATAGGCATGTCATTGACATAACATAAGTAACAAAAAAAAGGTACAATACCGTGACTGGAACGATACACAAATAACCCGCACATAAAAGAGAGAAGCTTACGCCGACGTTTCGGTCCGACTTGGACCATTGACAAAGTGTGGAAAAAGACACTTATGTACAGTTCAGGACATTTATTAAAGGAAACGTTTCGCCACGAGTGGCTTCTTCAGTCCTAATACAGAGAAAACTAAGAAAACACACATATATATAGTGGCGGGAGTCAGGTGACATGATGCGTGGGTAGAAAGGGGGTAGTAGTAGTAGTAGGTTTGTAGTAGTTGAATAGTAGTAGTAGTAGTAGTATAGTAGTAGTAGTAGTAGTAGTTATATGGAACTAAGGAGGTGAGGCAAGAGAGGGACCTGCTGGCTCAAGTAACACCATTTCCCAGGATGGGTAAATCCTCTTGCTTAGTAATTTTGAAACACTGTAACTACCGGATTTTTGCTTTATAGTGTTACTGACAGAAATTAGTGCAGCTTAAAATGCATTTTCTCCGTCTTAAGTCGTCTTCTTTAATAACTAGTTTAGCTTCATTGAATTTCATGAGGTGTCCAACATCGTCCTATGTTGAACACATGCGTTTTTGCGGTCATCATTTCTGCAAGCATTTTTGTGTTCTGCTATCCTAATGTCCAGAGTTCTGGCTGTTTCCCCTACTATACTTTGTCAAAACCCCCACATGGTATAGTGTAGATTCCTGCACTTGTGCCAGAATCAAAGCTTGGGGTTTTTTTATCAGGTTCCTAATAGTATTGAAGAGCTGGTAGATATTTTAGCCAGTTTTCTGTCAAACATTTTTGAAACATTAGTGGCAACGTTGCTGACCGGTAAAACGATGTAACTTGGAGGCTTTTCTTCAATTTGATAGGTGTTGGTCTTGCTGAGGATACGTATTGCACGTTTCCTGCAGTCACGTATGAAGTGTAGGGGAAAGTGTAGTGAACTAAACGAGTTGGTTTATGTATGTACATTCTTCTTCGAGGAACTGCAGTCCGCAGTTCCTCGAAGAAGAATGTACATACATCACCAACTCGTTTAGTTCACTACACTTTCCCCTACACTTCATACGTGACTGCAGGAAACGTGCAATACGTATCCTCAGCAAGACCAACACCTAAACAAATTGAAGAAAAGCCTCCAAGTTACATCGTTTTACCGGTCAGCAACGTTGCCACTAATGTTTCAAAAATGTTTGACAGAAAACTGGCTAAAATATCTACCAGCTCTTCAACTACTATTAGGAACCTGATACAAAAACCCAAGCATGATTCTGGCACAAGTGCAGGAATCTACACTATACCATGTGGGGGGTGTGACAAAGTATATGTAGGGGAAACAGCCAGAACCTGGACATTAGATAGCAGAACACAAAAATGCTTGCAGAAATGATGACCGCAAAAACGCATGTGTTCAACATAGAGACGATGTTGGACACCTCATGAAATTCAAAGAAGCTAAACTAGTTATTAAAGAAGACGACTTAAGACGGAGAAAATGCATTGAAGCTGCACTAATTTCTGTCAGTAACACTATAAAGCAAAAATCCGGTAGTTACAGTGTTTCAAAATTACTAAGCAAGAGGATATTACCCATCCTGGGAACTGGTGTTACTTGATGCCAGCAGGTCCCTCTCTTGCCTCACCTCCTTAGTTCCATTACTACTACTACTACTACTACTACTACTACTACTACTACTACTACTACTACTACTACTACTACTACTACTACCACCTCTACCCACGCATCATGTCACCTGACTCCCGCCACTATATATATGTGTGTTTTCTTAGTTTTCTCTGTATTAGGACTGAAGAAGCCACTCGTGGCGAAACGTTTCCTTTAATAAATGTCCTGAACTGTACATAAGTGTCTTTTTCCACATCTTGTCGGTATCACCATACCATTTCCTCATTGACAAAGTCAATGGTCCAAGTCGGACCGAAACGTCGTCGTAAGCTTCTCTCTTTTATGTGCGGGTTATTTGTGTAACATAACATAAGATTATTAAGGGACCCAGAATACTCCTTGGGGAACTCCACATGTTATCGGCAGGGGTTCTGATTCTGTTTTGTTGATTTTGACAATTTGTCTCCTGTTGCTAAGGTAGGACTTAAACCAGTCTACAGAACCTATACCGATAGCTTGAAGTTTCCTACATAATATATTGTGGTTGACAGTATCGAAGGCCTTTTGCAGGTCTAAGGTTACCATACCTATGAGGTTCCCCTTTGACATTTCAGTTCTCAGGTAATCCATCAGATTAATAAGGGAGGTGTCGGTTGAGTAGGATCTTCTAAAGCCCGATTGATAGCTATGGAGAATGTTGTTGTCATTAAGGTACTTAACTACTTGAGAATACACCGGCCTCTCTAGAATTTTAGATATTATACTGAGTATACTAACAGGCCTATAGTTGCTGATACCCCTCAAGGAAGGTTCCTTGATTTAGGAAATTGGATCTGTGCTCCAGTTCCCCGAATTAAGTCTGAATGCCTTCAACATCCCCCCCCCCAGGCGCTGTATAATCCTCCGGGTTTAGCGCTTCCCCTTGATTATTATAATAATAATAATAATAATATAGTTGCTGACATCAGACCTACTATTTTTCTTGAAGATAGGAGTAACTCTGGCCTCCTTGAACCCCTCCGGTACGGTATTAGTGGTGATTGATAGATTTATTATGTGAGCAATAGGGATTGACAGTTCAGAAGCACCATCTTTTAGGAACTTAGACGGGATGTTATCAGGGCCAGTGCTCTTAGTTGGGTTTAACCAGGGACGAGATGGAAAGGTTTGACCTGGGAGTGTTAGCCACCCGCGATAACCCAGGGTAGGGAGTGTTAATAACCCAGGATAACCCAGGGTAGTCAGACCATAATTTCATTATGGTCCTTCAATCTTGTCCCCCAGGATGCCACCCACACCAGTCCACTAACACCCAGGTACCTACTTACTGCTAGGTGAAGTGACAGCAGGTGTACTGACTTTTTTGGGTTATCCTAGGTTCTCTACACATATGCTGCTATGTATGATAATTCTATGTAACTGTATTTGTGTATACCTGAATAAATTTACTTACTTTCTTACGGAAACACGCCCGTGCCGGGGATCGAACCCCGGACACCCAGTGTGCGAGGCAAGTGCGCTACCAACCCAGCCACCGGACACCCGGGTTCAATACGGCGTAACTTCATAATGGCCCTAAAAAACGTAAACAAACAAGAGACCAAAAAAGGAAAAAAAAACAACAGAAAATGGAAATAGGTTGCCAACACACCAAAAAAAAAAAAATGTTAATTGAAAAAAAAATAGTTTTGTGTGATTTTTAAATGTTAAAAAAGGCAAATTTTGTGGGGGTTTTCGAAGGCAGAAAAATTTTATTGGTCATTTTGGGAGGTAAGTCAAAATTCAAGCCATATTTATTGTTTTTTTCTTAGTATATATTTGGGAGGTTCCTTGGTGGGGGGGAGGTGAGGGCTTTTGATCCAAGGAACTGGATTTGTCCTCATCTTCCATGCTGCAAAGATGATTGTCTCCCTTTCCGTACGGGTTTAGCGCAGATGATTTCCTGATTATCATTGTTAATAGAATGACACTAAATAATAATAATAATAATTATTATTATTATTATTATTATTATTATTATTATTATTATTACTAATACTTGTTATTATTGCTAACCTAACCTAACCTAACCTAACCTAACCTAACTTAACCTAACCTACCCTAACCTAACCTAACTTAACCTAACCTAAACTACCCTAACCTAACCTAACCTAAAATAACTTAACCTACCCTAACCTAACCAAACCTAACCTAACCTAACCTAACCTAACCTAACCTAACCTAACCTAACCTAACTTAACCTAACCTAACCTAACCTAACCTAACTTAACCTAACCTAAACTACCCTAACCTAACCTAACCTAACCTAAAATAACTTAACCTACCCTAACCTAACCTAACCTAACCTAACCTAACCTAACCTAACTTAACCTAACCTAACCTAACCTAACCTAACCTAACCTAACCTAAACTACCCTAACCTAACCTAACCTAACCTAAAATAACTTAACCTACCCTAACCTAACCAAACCTAACCTAACCTAACCTAACCTACCCTAACCTAACCTAACCTAACCTAACCTAACCTAACTTAACCTAACCTAACCTAACCTAACCTAACCTAACCTAACCAAACCTAACCTAACCTAACCTAAAATAACTTAACCTAATCTAACCTAACCAAACCTAACCAAACCTAACCTAACCTAACCTAGCCTAACCTATCCTAACCTAACCTAACTTAACCTGACGTAACCTCTATGAATAGCATTTTTGGGGTTATCCTGGGTGTAATTAAATCATTGAAAACAAGTCACTTTTTAGGTTATCCTGGTGGGTAATCTTCACATATGCTACTATGCACAAAAGAATAAAGATTTTTATTTCTTTGCAAAGGTTACAATGTGTAATTGCAATTTTGATTTGTTAAGTACAAAAAAAGCCACCATGTGTGCATATGTATGTGCGCGCGCGCGCTAGTGTGGGTGTATGACCCACTTAATATTTGTATTTATAACTCATTACAATTATGACCAGGTGTGGACGTATCAGTGGTTCATTACTTTGTAATTTGCTCATGACTGTAACCATGTATAGGAGTGAAGCTGATTCATTACCTCTGTAACTTGTCATGACTGTGACCAGATCTACCTGGAGTTCATTATCTTTGTAACTAGTTCAGCTATCATAACTTTGGAGTCCAGTCCCTGGACCCATTATGTACCTTTGTAATCTTTTGACTACTGCCCACAGGATGGGTATGGGGTGCATAATAAACATATTAAACTGTAACTGTAAACTGATGCCAGGACATGTACCTGTACCTAAATAAACTTATTTTTTTGGCAGTGGGTGGAGGGTCAGCAGGATGCACACTGGCAGGGAGGTTATCAGAAGTACCTGGGTGGAGAATATTATTACTGGAGGCTGGGGGACCCCCACCCTTGGAGACCTACGTACCGGCCTTTCTACCCATCTCTTACATCCCTGGGTACAGTGAGGACTGGGGCTACAGAACCGTACCCCAGAAGTTTTCCTCTCAGAATTTTGCTAATCGGGTAAGCAACAACGTACTCGTCCCAAATAACATTACTGAGTTTGTCATTTAAAGTCCAGATCTGCATCCAGACTTCTAGTCTATCTGGAGGCTATCCCCTCAATATTGTATATTTAGTTATTACCAGATAAATGTAAAAAAAATATATATAATATATTTTTTAATTATCATTACTATTAGAGATTAAATATTCTTTATTTCAGCATGATACAGTGTTTGTACAAGGGTGAATGATTTAGGTGTGTGTTTAAAAACCCCTTTAATATGCAGAGCATTTTGGGCAAACTTAAGACTAACTTAGGATTAATAAGGCGATAACTAATTGATTGCTTATACAGTGGACCCCCGCATAACGATTACCTCCGAATGTGACCAATTATGTAAGTGTATTTATGTAAGTGTGTTTGTACATGTATGTTTGGGGATCTGAAATGGACTAATCTACTTCACAATATTTCTTATGGGAACAAATTCGGTCAGTACTGGCACCTGAACATACTTCTGGAGTGAAGAAATATCGTTAACCGGGGGTCCACTGTATAAACAGCCTCTTAGGTGGTTGTAAAAATAAAATTAGAAATTACAATGAATGCTAGAGAACTGAGTATCCTATTAGTACATTTGAAATATTGAAGTATTATATGATTTTCTTAAAGATTCACACTTTTGCCCTTAACCCTTAAACTGTCTAAATATAGATCTACGTGTGCACGCGTAGCGCTGCGACCTTGATTTTCTCCATAAGAAACAATGTAAAAATAATGTAGATCTACGTTCGGAGCAATACGCGAGCAAACGTAGATCTACGTTTGGACAGTTTAACCTGGAGTTTACCTGGAGAGAGTTCCGGGGGTCAACGCCCCCGCGGCCCGGTCTGAGACCAGGCCTCCTGGTGGATCACAGCCTGATCAACCAGGCTGTTGCTGCTGGCTGCACGCAAACCAACATACGAGCTACAGCCCGGCTGATCCGGAACTGACTTTAGGTGCTTGTCCAGTGCCAGCTTGAAGACTGCCAGGGGTCTGTTGGTAATCCCCCTTATGTGTGCTGGGAGGCAGTTGAACAGTCTCGGGCCCCTGACACTTATTGTATGGTCTCTTAACGTGCTAGTGACACCCCTGCTTTTCATTGGGGGGATGGTGCATCGTCTGCCAAGTCTTTTGCTTTCGTAATGAGTGATTTTCGTGTGCAAGTTCGGTACTAGTCCCTCTAGGATTTTCCAGGTGTATATAATCATGTATCTCTCCCTCCTGCGTTCCAGGGAATACAGGTTTAGGAACCTCAAGCGCTCCCAATAATTGAGGTGTTTTTATCTCCGTTATGCGCGCCGTGAAAGTTCTCTGTACATTTTCTAGGTCGGCAATTTCACCTGCCTTGAAAGGTGCTGTTAGTGTGCAGCAATATTCCAGCCTAGATAGAACAAGTGACCTGAAGAGTGTCATCATGGGCTTGGCCTCCCTAGTTTTGAAGGTTCTCATTATCCATCCTGTCATTTTTCTAGCAGATGCGATTGATACAATGTTATGGTCCTTGAAGGTGAGATCCTCCGACATGATCACTCCAGGTCTTTGACGTTGGTGTTTCGCTCTATTTTGTGGCCCGAATTTGTTTTGTACTCTGATGACGATTTAATTTCCTCATGTTTACCATATCTGAGTAATTTAAATTTCTCATCGTTGAACTTCATATTGTTTTCTGCAGCCCACTGAAAGATTTGGTTGATGTCTGCCTGAAGCTTTGCAGTGTCTGCAATGGAAGACACTGTCATGCAGATTCGGGTGTCATCTGCAAAGGAAGACACGGTGCTGTGGCTGACATCCTTGTCTATGTCGGATATAAGGATGAGGAACAAGATGGGAGCGAGTACTGTGCCTTGTGGAACAGAGCTTTTCACCGTAGCTGCCTCGGACTTTACTCTGTTGACGACTACTCTCTGTGTTCTGTTAGTGAGGAAATTATAGATCCATCGACCGACTTTTCCTGTTATTCCTTTAGCACGCATTTTGTGCGCTATTACGCCATGGTCACACTTGTCGAAGGCTTTTGCAAAGTCTGTATATATTACATCTGCATTCTTTTTGTCTTCTAGTGCATTTAGGACCTTGTCGTAGTGGTCCAATAGTTGAGACAGACAGGAGCGACCTGTTCTAAACCCATGTTGCCCTGGGTTGTGTAACTGATGGGTTTCTAGAATGCGTGGTGATCTTGCTTCTTAGGACCCTTTCAAAGATTTTATGATATGGGATGTTAGTGCTATTGGTCTGTAGTTCTTTGCTGTTGCTTACTGCCCCCTTTGTGGAGTGGGGCTATGTCTGTTGTTTTTAGTAACTGTGGGACACCCCCGTGTCCATGCTCCTCTCCATAGGATGGAAATGGCTCGTGATAGGGGCTTTTGCAGTTCTTGATGAACACAGATTCCATGAGTCTGGCCTGGGCAGAGTGCATGGGATGTCATTTACGCCTGTTCGAAGTCATTTGGCGTCAGGATAACATCGGTAGGCTTGTGTTAATCAAATTTTGTGGCTCTCTCATAAAAAATTCTTTTTTGATCTTCGACTCTCAGTCTGGTTAGCGGCTTGCAAAAAACTGAGTCATATTGGGACTTGAGTAGCTCACTCATTTCCTTGCTGTCATCTGTGTAGGACCCATCTTGTTTAAGTAGGGGCCCAATACTGGACGTTGTTCTCGATTTTGATTTGGCATAGGAGAAGAAATACTTTGGGTTTCTTTCGATTTCATTTATGGCTTTTGTTCTTCCCGCGATTCCTGACTCCTAAAGGATTCTTTTAGCTTAAGTTCGATGCTTGCTATTTCTCTGACCAGTGTCTCCCTGCGCATTTCAGATATATTGACCTCTTTTGCCGCTCTGTTATTCTTTTCCGTCGCCTGTAAAGGGAGCGCCCGTCTCTTTCTATTTTACATCTACTCCCCCTTTTTCTTAGAGGAATAAGCCTTGTGGATACATCGAGTGCCACCGAGTTAATCTGTTCTAGGCATAAGTTTGGGTCTGTGTTGCTTAGTATATCTTCCCAGCTTATATCGGTTAGGACTTGGTTTACTTGGCCCACTTTATGTTTTTGTTATTGGGAAATTGAATTTGGTGAAAGCTCCCTCGTGATAGTCTCATTTTGTCGGTCTGGGGCTCCACGCAAATGTCTGAACCTCAATTATGTTGTGATCTGAGTATATTGTTTTTGATATGGTGACATTTCTTATCAGATCATCATTGTTAGTGAATATGAGGGCTAGTGTATTCTCCAGTCTAGTAGGCTCTATTATTTGCTGGTTTAAATTGAATTTTGTGCAGAGATTTTTAAAAACTTGTGAGTGGAGTTTTCACAGAGCTGCCTCCTGGTTTTTATTTCTGCAACAATATTATTTTTCTATATTCCTCCATTTTAGGTGCCTTAAGTTGAAATCCCCCAGGAGCAAGATTGTTTGGGGGCAGGAGCTGGAAGATTTTCCAGACAGTGGTCAATTTTTAACAGCTGTTCCTGGGAAATTTCTGGAAGTTGCATCCGGAGGCTTGTGACTACACAATGACTAGGTTTTGGTTTTCGACCTTACTGCTAAACTTCCACTACGTCATTTGAGGCATTAAGCAGTTCTGTGCAAACAAGTTTACTCTGGGAATGTACAGGCCAACCCCCCCCTTTTGCCTGTTCACTCTGTCACAAATTTTATAGGTTGTAACCTGGGATCCATATTTCGTTGTCCAAGTGATCCTTTATGTGGGTCTCAGTGAAAGCCGCGAACATTGCCTTTGCCTCTGCAAGCAGTCCACGGATGAAAGGTATTTTGTTGTTTGTTGCTGGCTTTAGACCCTGTATATTTGCAAAGAAGAATGTTATCGGACTGGTGATATTGTTGGTACTGGGGGGGGATTTTTTTTCCGGCATTAGTATCTGTATCTGTTGGTTTGGAGTGGAGGCCATCGACTGTGGTTCCACTCCAGGAATGACTGGATTTGGTGTACGATTTCTGCCATTTCCTGCCAGTTTTTTTTCCTTCCTGGGTTAATATGACATTTAGTAAGTGTTAGTCGACTGGTGTATACCTGTGGGTCTCATCCTGGGACAAAATTGACCTAATTTGTGGGAAATGCTCTGCATAACAAGCGGCTTTCTATATAGTAGTATGTCATTGATGTCAGCTATGATCTGTATACCTTGTACATGTACTTGTAGAACTAAAGATTATTATTATTCTTATTATGCTGTAGCAAGTGAAACTACCACAAGGCCGGGTGTTGGGTGGCGGATCCACGGTCAACAGTTTGATGTATGTAAGAGGTAACAGGAGGGACTATGACAGGTGGGCAGCATTGGGTAACCCAGGCTGGGACTACCTCAGCGTTCTCCCATACTTCATCAAACAAGAGGACTTCCGAGGGGAAGTTGGGGAAACGGGTGAGTTATAACCTCTTTTGTAACCTGTGATGCCATCTTGTATATCCAAGAAAGCATTTTAATTTCAATGTTACTGTACTGTACATAATTACAGCAGTTCTGCTTGCAGGACCATGTTCTTCCCAAGTAGTAAAGGACCAGTATATGCACAAGGTTTTAAAGCAGTGTTTCTTATACATTATTTGAGTTTTATTGAATTGTGTCATTTTGTTGCCTTCAAAGTTAAATTTGCAATAATATTAAGTCTTCCTTTGAGATTTTACAATGACGATGTACTCGTTCAGAGGACTGGGTGTTCAGTACCTCTCTAGTGTGGAAAAATTGACACAAATGCACTGTAATGTGAACCTTTGTTGATTATGTTTCTCCCACACAGTGGGCTTTAAAGCCCACTAGTAAATCATCAGTTGCAAAGTGCCTAACTACTTCACCAATAGAAAAATTCAGCCAATATTTGTCTATGAAAAACTATACACATTCTCTTATTTACCCAACTCCTCCTGTGTATGAAATATTATGTCAGTAGATTGATATTAATTCAAACCCTTTACCTTTTTGACAGCGGCGTTCCATGGACGTGGCGGACCTATTGGAGTAACCCCTGGGCCCCTGACTCCCCTCACACGAGCTTTTATACAGGGTGGCAAGGAGCTTGGTTACCCTGTTATTGACTACAATGGCCCAGAGCAATTAGGTATTTCTTTATTTTTCTAATTTGAGCTCAAATTAGATATGTGTTGCCTGTTCTATTATATACATGTATATAACAAATCTAACTAACCATTTTCCCTGCCTCTTTTGATAGATGTTATGTTCACACTCTAGTCCAGGAGGACTGTAAATATATGTTTTATGTTGGAACCAGACACTGTATTGTAATCATTATTTTTAAAAAATATTAACTTCTCCATAATTGACCATAATTACTAAATGAAAAGAAGGAAAAGCTTTCATTTCTCCTTTTTCGGGTCACCCGGCCTTGGTGGGAGACGGGTGATGTGTTAAAAATACATAGGAGGGTCTCGCTTATACAGTAGGTTATGTTCTGGGCTACTGTAAGGCCCCACTTATACAGCAGGTTAGATTTTGGGTTACTGCTGTAAAGTAAAAATTGCTGTAAAGTGAATCATAGCCTTTTTTCACTTTCAAATGCACATACAAGCCTGATAACATGTTTACTCTATCATATATTAAATGAGCAATAGAGCTAGGCCTAAAAAATGCTTAGACAGTACGCACATTACTTACCTTAAAATATTTTCATTGTTAGCTTATAGTGAGTGGTGAATATATTTATTGTATTGTAGGAAGGCTGAATAAAGAAGAATGAGTATAATTAAAAACTGTTGTATTAGCAGAAATGCTGTAAAGTGAAGCACTGAAGAATTGAGACACTTATGCAACATATGGGAATCTTTATTGAAGAAACGTTTTGCCACACAGTGGCTTCATCAGTCCAATACAAAGTAGAAATGGTGAAACGTTTCTTCAATAAAGATTCCCATATGTTGCATAAGTGTCTCAATTCTTCAACTTGTCAGTTTTCAAAACCATTCATCACAAGTGAAGCACTGTTAAGTGGGACCTCTCTGTGTTGACCATAGCTTCCCTTTCCAGGATTTGCTTCAACATCATTCTCAATTAAAGATGGAGTCAGATCTTCAACAGCCAGGGAGTATTTAATACCTTCAAACACAAGACCCAATCTTCATGTCCTTCATAGTGCCACTGTTCACAGGGTGAGTTTGTATGACACTCCAAGTTGCTGTCCCACTGCCTAAAATACTCTGCTAGTTTATCTGTGAAGTGTATCTCAGATGTTGATTCTCTCAAAGTACAGCCTCTCCTCACTTACCAACGTACTCGTTTACTGACGACTCGGAGTTACGACGGGCTCTCTGACCAGTATGCATACCTAAATAATGTATACTTGAGCTGATTTCCTCCGTTCTGTTTATCACAATATACAGTACACTACTGTATAAATATTTAAAAATATACTTAAAATGTTATAAATGGTACAAATTTGACATTAAAACAATGGTCTCAGGAACAGAACTCCATTGTTAAGTGAGGAGAGGCAGTATTATTATAATCATAACTAAGCACTAAGCCTACAAGGAGCATACAGTGCTGTGACCCTTTCGATGTATTCCTCTCTAGCTTTCTCCATTCATACTGTACTGTAGATAGGTAGACTGGAATCGAGTATTTCAAGTGACAGATACATTTAATCACGTATTACAAAAATTGTAAAACCAGTCGTTGTAACCTATTTTTTTTTAAGGAAATAAACATCTTTATCTTAATGAAGGAGTTATACACATACACATTTACATACACTGTCATGTAAAAGTTCCCATCCTGTCAACATTAGGATTTACTAGATACTAGAGACTTCTATATCATAGCCATAATTTTTAAAGGGGTGGAGGGGTAAGCCAGGGTAAGGCCCCAATCAGACGACCTAAAGCTCCAGCTGTGGGTCACCATATGACTAAGACCCACATCAGGAAACATTTGTCCTGTTTCCTGACAAACCTTACCTAACCTAACCTGTATTGCCATACTTCATTAATTCCTTATCTTTGTATTTATCAAAACTTCCGCTTTTCAGGTCGTCTTCCACAACAAAAGAGCTGTGGGGGTCAAGTTTGAGCACAAAGGAAAGGCGAGTACCTTTACATAAACTTCCATATATCAGTAACAACACTGCGACTAGCCAAGGACTAGAAGCCATGCTGCTTTGGCCAGCAGGCCAAAGCAGCATGGGTTCAAGTCCTTGGCTAGTAGCAGTGTTGTTATTTATCAATACCACTTGTTCATGGGCACAATAACTTTCATATATATAAAGTTCATCTTTCAACAAATCAGCCGCATCCCACTGAGGCAGGGCGACCTAAAAAGAACAATTTTTTTTTTTAATTTTAGTAATTTACACAGGAGAAGGGGTTACTAGCCCCTTGCTCCCAGCATTTCAGTTACCTCTTACAACATGCATGGCTTAAGGATGAAGAATTCTTTTCCACTTCCCAAGGAGATAAGAGGATAAGTGGTGTGACCTAAGTGTAAGTAAAAGTAGCAAGATATACCTGTTATCCTGCATGTTTATTAGACACAAAAAAGACACCAGGAATCCTACCATCATGTAAAACGATTATGTATATATAAAGTTAACAAGGTTTATTTTTTACTGTACATTATTTGGTAGTATGTCATTGATGTCAGCTAGGCCTGTATACCTTGTACATGTACCTGTAGAAATAAGATATATTATTATATGTCTTGCAGCTGTTTACGGTGAGAGCGCTGCGTGAGGTCATAATGTCTGCTGGGCCGGTAGCATCACCTAAGTTACTCATGTTGTCAGGGGTCGGACCCAAGGAACATCTCCAGCAGCATAATGTAAGTGCCATTATTAACTGGGCAGTAATTTCATGACTTGATATTGATGCTGTACCAGAGGGTGAGTCTAAGGCAAGGAATGGAACTAACGTACATTACTATCTCATTAACTACTGCATCGTGTTTCGGATTCAGATTTGTTATTTTAGCATAATGCAAAAAAAACCTTAGTATGCAGAGCTTTTTGGGCAAACTTAAGCAAATTATGTTAAATTCTACTTTTTACTTTTTACTAAATGATGTAACCCTGTTTTGATTATATCCAATGTTTTTGAAAACCTGCTAGAGCATTTCTTCGGTTATTTGCATTTACAGTGGTACCTTGGGTTACGAACTTAATTCGTTCCAGAAAGCTGTTCGAGTGCTGATACTGAGCGAATTTGTTCCCATAATTAATAATGTAAATTAGATTAATCCGTTTCAGACCCCCAAAAACACGCTTACAAAAGCGCTTACAAAAATACACTTACATAATTGTTCAGGTTGAGAGGTGTTCATATGCCGAGATACCACTGAGAATTACTGTAAACATGAGATTTAAATGCTCGTTAGATTTCCCATTCCCAAATCTCTTTCTCTTTCTCATGAATATCAACATCAGCCATATTTAGATGAATATTTAAAGAGATACAGTCTCAGAAACTGATAATGATCTCAAATGTGCAGACATAATTTTGTAAGGTATTCTTTGAAGATTCTAAATTCACTGGACCTAGGAGCATATCACAATTTTAAGGGTTCCATTGTATGCCAGAGTGAAGACAATTTGCTTTCAAACCTCATCAGTGCAGTGAATGTTAATAAATGGTTAAATCATTTATTAACCTTCACTACATTGATGAGGTTTGAAAGAAAAATGTCATTATTATTGAATATAATGGAACCCTCGAATCTGTGTTATACTCCTAGATTCAGCAAATTTAGAATATTAAATATAGTGGTGATCCTTGTCAGTTAACCTCACTTTTGATCTCGCGACTTGAACAACTTATGCAGTGCTGATATTTATGTTTTACAGTTAAAGGTTGTGGCCAACTCACCAGGTGTCGGCCAGAATGTACACGATCATGTTGAAGCCTTTGGCCTCAGTTGGGTGGCAGTAAAAGGCACATCTTCACTGGATATATTGAACACGTTCAATCCCGTGTCTCTCAAGGAGTACCAGTTAACCAGACAAGGTCAGTGTTCAGATTTAATTTCTTGATACTACAGTACTTTCACTTGTTTTTATAATTAATAATAAGTGTAGCTGGACTTGAGTCCTGGAGGTGGGAAGTACAGTGCCTGCACTCTAAAGGAGTCCTGGAGGTGGGAAGTACAGTGCCTGCACTCTGAAGGAGTCCTGGAGGTGGGAAGTACAGTGCCTGCACTCTGAAGGTGTCCTGGAGGTGGGAAGTACAGTGCCTGCACTCTGAAGGAGTCCTGGAGGTGGGACATGCAGTACCTGCACTCTGAAGGATGAGTGAGGATGTTACAGTCCTGGAGGTGGGAAGTACAATACCTGTACTCTGAAGGATGAGTGAAGATGTTACAGTCCTGGAGGTAGGAAGTACAGTGCCTGCACTCTGAAGGAGTCCTGGAGGTGGGACATACAGTGCCTGCAGTCTGAAGGATGAGTGAGGATGCTACAGCCCTGGAGGTGGGAAGTACAGTACCTGTACTCTGAAGGATGAGTGAAGATGTTACAGTACTGGAGGTAGGAAGTACAGTGCCTGCACTCTGAAGGAGTCCTGGAGGTGGGACATACAGTGCCTGCAGTCTGAAGGATGAGTGAGGATGTTACAGCCCTGGAGGTGGGAAGTACAGTACCTGTACTCTGAAGGATGAGTGAAGATGTTACAGTCCTGGAGGTAGGAAGTACAGTGCCTACACTCTGAAGGATGAGTGAGGATGTTACAGTCCTGAAGGTAGGAAGTACAGTAGGTAAGACACATAGGCAACAGTTAGGCAACTTTATTCCGAAACGTTTCGCCTACACAGTAGGCTTCTTCAGTCGATTACAGAAAGTAGGCAGGAACAGTAGAGATGTGAAGACGATGTAATCAGTCCATCACCCTTGAAGTCGTAGAATTTTGAGGTTGTCAGTCCCTCAGCCTGGAGAAATTCAGTTCCAAAGTCAGGAACTATCTGGATAGTTCCTGACTTTGGAACTGAATTTCTCCAGGCTGAGGGACTGACAACCTCAAAATTCTACGACTTCAAGGGTGATGGACTGATTACATCGTCTTCACATCTCTACTGTTCCTGCCTACTTTCTGTAATCGACTGAAGAAGCCTACTGTGTAGGCGAAACGTTTCGGAATAAAGTTGCCTAACTATTGCCTATGTGTCTTACCTACCAACCTGTCGGTATTGTATACCATTTTGATGTTCAGGAAGTACAGTGCCTGCACTCTGAAGGATGAGTGAGGATGTTACAGTACTAGAGGTGGGAAGTACAGTGCCTGCACTCTGAAGGATGAGTGAGGATGTTACAGTACTAGAGGTGGGAAGTACAGTGCCTGCACTCTGAAGGATGAGTGAGGATGTTACAGTACTAGAGGTGGGAAGTACAGTGCCTGCACTCTGAAGGATGAGTGGATGTTACAGTACTAGAGGTGGGAAGTACAGTGCCTGCACTCTGAAGGAGGGGCGGTGGCTAAAGCTCCCGCTTCACACATGGAGGGCCCGGGTTCGATTCCCGGTGGGTGGAAACATTTCAACACATTTCCTTACACCTGTTGTCCTGTTCACCTAGCAGCAAATAGGTACCTGGGTGTTAATCGACTGGTGTGGGTCGCATCCCGGGGGACAAGATTGAGGACCCCAATGGAAATATTAAGTAAGACAGTCCTCGATGGCATACTGACTTTCTTGGGTTATCCTGGGTGGCTAACCCTCTGGGGTTAAAAATCCGAACGAAATCTTATCTTACTGGCACACCTCTGGCAAGACAGTGATGGAGTGAATGATGATGAACTTATTTCGTCTTTTTCAGGTCACGCTACCACGCTGGGAAACGGCCAATTTAAAAAACAAATTGTGAAATTATCTGCTTTCAAGATGTAGTATACTATATAGGTGTATAAGTTTAGGTGTATAAATAGATAATTGCTTACCTCTTTGTAGTTCCTGAATCAGAATTGATTTCAGCTCCCAACATCTACGATAGTATGTAGATGTTGGGCACCACACAGTAGTACATCATTGATGTCAGCTATGGTCTGTGTACCTTGTACATGTACCTGTAGAAATTTTTTTTTTTTTTTTTTTTTTTTCAACAAGTCGGTCGTCTCCCACCGAGGCAGGGTGACCCACAAAAAAGAAAGAAAATCCCCAAAAAGAAAATACTTTCATCATCATTCAACACTTTACCACACTCACAAAATTATCACTGCTTTTGCAGAGGTTTCTCAGAATAAACAGTTTAGAAGCATTACGTATAGAGATACACAACATATCCCTCCAAACTGCCAATATCCCAAACCCCTCCTTTAAAGTGCAGGCATTGTACTTCCCCTTTCCCGGACTCAAGTCCGACTATATGAAAATAACCGGTTTCCCTGAATCCCTTCACTAAATATTACCCTGCCCCACACTCCAACAGATCGTCAGGTCCCAAGTATCATTCGTCTCCATTCACTCCTATCTAACACGCTCATGCACGCTTGCTGGAAGTCCAAGCCCCTCACCCCAAACCCCCTTTACCCCTCTTTCCAACCCTTTCGAGGACGACCCCTACCCTCTTTCCTTCCCCTATAGATTTATATGCTTTCCATGTCATTCTACTTTGATCCATTCTCTCTAAATGACCAAACCACCTCAACAACCCCTCTTCTGCCCTCTGACTAATGCTTTATTAACTTCCACACCTTCTCCTAATTTCCACACTCGAATTTTCTGCATAATATTTACACCACCCCATTGCCCTTAGACAGGACATCTCCACTGCCTCCAACCGTCCCTCGCTGCTGCATTTACCACCCAAGCTTCACATCCATATAAGAGTGTTGGTACTAGTATACTTTCATACATTCCCCTTTTTTGCCTCCCTAGATAACGTTTTTTGACTCCACATATCCCCAACGCACCACTACCTTTTTTCCCTCATTTAATTCTATGATTCACCTCATCCTTCATAAATCCATCGCTGACACGTCAACTCCCAAGTATCTGAAAACATTCACTTCTTCCATACTCCTCCTCCCCAATTTGATATCCAATTTTTCTTTATCTAAAAACATTTGATACCCCCATCACCTTACTCTTTTCTATGTTCACTTTCAACTTTCTACCTTTACACACATTCTCAAACTCATCCACTAACCTTTGCAATTTTTCTTTAGAATCTCCCATAAGCACAGTATCATCAGCAAAAAGTAACTGTGTCAATTCCCATTTTGAATTTGATTCCCCATAATTTAATCCCACCCTCTCCCGAACACCCTAGCATTTACTTCTTTTACAACCCCATCTATAAATATATTAAACAACCATGGTGACATTACACATCCCTGTCTAAGACCTACTTTTACCGGGAAGTATTCTCCTTCTCTTCTACACACCTAACCTGAGCCTCACTATCCTCATAAAAGCTCTTTACAGCATTTAGTAACTTACCACCTATTCCATAAACTTGCAACATCTGCCACATTGCTCCTCTATCTACTCTATCATATGCCTTTTCTAAATCCATAAATGCAATAAAAACTTCCCTACCTTTATCTAAATACTGTTCACATATATGCTTCAATGTAAACACTTGATCTACACATCCCCTACCCACTCTGAAACCTCCTTGTTCGTCCGCAATTCTACATTCTGTCTTACCTCTAATTCTTTCAATTATAACCCTACCGTATACTTTTCCTGGTATACTCAGTAAACTTATTCCTCTATAATTTTTACAATCTCTTTTGTCCCCTTTCCCTTTATATAAAGGGACTATACTGCTCTCCGCCAATCCTAGGTACCTTCCCCTCTTTCATACATTTATTAAACAAAAGTACCAACCACTCCAACACTATATCCCCCCCTGCTTTTAACACTTTCTGTCATGATCCCATCAGTTCCAGCTGCTTTACCCCCTTTCATTCTACGTAATGCCTCACGTACCTCCACCACTACTTACAGTCTGCTCTTCTTCATCTCCTAAAAGATGGTATACCTCCCTGGCCAGTGCATGAAATTACCGCCTCCCTCTCTTCCTTAACATTTAAAAGTTCCTCAAAATATTCTCGCCATCTACCTATACCTCCCTCTCCCCATCTACTAACTCCCCTACTCTGTTTTTAACTGACAAATCCATACTTTCCCTAGGCTTTCTTAACTTGTTTAACTCACTCCAAAATTTTTTCTTATTTTCATTAAAATTTCTTGACAGTGCCTCTCCCACTCTTTCATATGCTCTCCTTTTGCACTCTCTCACCACTCTCTTCACCTTTCTTTTACTCTCCATATACTCTGCTCTTCTTATAACACTTCTGCTTTGTAAAAACCTCTCGTAAGCTACCTTTTCTCTTTTATCACACCCTTTACTTCATCATTCCACCAATCACTCCTCTTTCCTCTGCCCCCACCCTCCTATAACCACAAACTTCTGCCCCACATTCTAATACTGCATTTTTAAAACTATTCCAACCCTCTTCAACCCCCCCACTACTCATCTTTGCACTAGCCCACCTTTCTGCCATAGTCGCTTATATCTCGCCCGAACTTCCTCCTCCTTAGTTTATACACTTTCACCTCCCTCTTACTTGTTGTTGCCACCTTCCTCTTTTCCCATCTACCTCTTACTCTAACTGTAGCTACAACTAAATAATGATCGATATATCAGTTGCCCCTCTATAAACATGTACATCCTGGAGCCTACCATCAACCTTTTATCCACCAATACATAATCTAACAAACTACTTTCATTACGTGCTACATCATACCTTGTATATTTATTTATCCTCTTTTTCATAAAATATGTATTACTTATTACCAAATTTCTTTCTACACATAGCTCAATTAAAGGCTCCCATTTACATTTACCCCTGGCACCCCAAAATTACCTACTACTCCCTCCATAACATTTTTACCCACTTTAGCATTGAAATCCCCAACCACCATTACTCTCACACTTGATTCAAAACTCCCCACGCATTCACTCAACATTTCCCAGAATCTCTCTCTCTCCTCTACATTCTCTCTTCTCCAGGTGCATACACGCTTACTATAAAACCCCCTTTTCACATCCAATCTTTATTTTACTCCACATAATCCTTGAATTTATACATTTGTAGTCCCCCTTTTTTCCCGCCATGCTTATCCCTTTAACATTATTGCTACTCCTTCTTTAGCTTAACTCTATTTGAAACCCCTGACCTAATCCATTTATTCCTCTCCATTGAAACTCTCCCCCCCCTTCAGCTTTGTTTCACTTAAAGCCAGGACATCCAGTTTCTTCTCATTTCATAACATCCACAATCATCTCTTTCTTATCATTTGCACAACATCCCCAAAGCACATTCAGACTTCCCACTTTGCAATTTTCTTCTTCTTATTCTTTTTAGTAATCTTTACAGGAAAAGGGGTTACTAAACCCATTGTTCCCGGCATTTTAGTTGACTTTTACAACACGCATGGCTTACGGAGGAAAGATTCTTATTCCACTTCCCCATGGATATAAAAGGAAAAGTAATAAGACCAAGAAACTATTAAGATAAAATCAAAGAAAACTCAGATGAGTGTGTATAAATAAACTTGTACATGTATGTGTAGTGTGACCTAAGTGTAAGTAGAAGTAGCAAGACGTACCTGTAATCTTGCATTATTTATGAGACAGACAAAAAACACCAGCAATCCTACCATCATGGTAAAAAAAATTACAGGCTTTCGTTTTACACTCACTTGGCAGGACGGTAGTACCTCCCTGGGTGGTTGCTGTCTACCAACCTACTATTATTATTATTATTATTATTATTATTATTATTATTATTATTATTATTTATTATTATTATTTTTATTTTATGTTTTTGGGTGATTTGGGGGGGGGGGAGTTCATAAATTTTTGGGGGCTTTAGTCCCCCCTGGTTCTCTCTTGGCTCCATGCATGTATCATAGTAATTATAGTATTTCGTCTTATCTTCCTTTCCATCAAACATATTTGCAGTGCCTCCTATTTTTTTAAGATAAAATAAATTTGTTTAGATTTTTAACCCAGAGGGTTAGTCACGCAGGATAACCCAAGAAAGTCAGTGTGTCATCGAGGTGTGATCACCATATTACCTATCATAAAGCACACTTATGTAGCACATTTTTATTGGAATGCTAATCATATTTATATCCCAGAATTATTAGTACCTGTGTTGAAAGCATCTAAAGTTGTAAAAAAAAAATAATTTGGGTTGATTCCTGCTCAGAAAATTTCCCTCTGTGTTGGAAAGTTGGCCTGGGGCAGTATACCTGGGGTATATCTAGAGAGGGTTTCAGGGGTCAATGCCCCCATGGCCCAGTATGAGATCAGGCCTCATGGTGGATGAGGGTCTGATCAACCAGGCTGTTACTGCTGGCTGCATGGATACTAATGTATGAACCACAGCCCAGCTGGTTAGGTACTGACTTTAGGTGCCTGCCCAGTGCCTTCTTGAAGACAGCCAGGGGTCTATTGGTAATCCCCCTTATGTATACTGGGAGGCAGTTGAACAGTCTTGGGCCCCTGACACCTAATGTGTTGTCTCTCAGTGCACTCGTCGTGCCCCTGCTTTTCATTGGGGGGACATTGCATCTCCTGCCAAGACTTTTGCTTTTATAGGGGATCCAGAGTAATGAACAGAGAGTTTAAGGTATGATAAAATATATATGTTATTTATGAGAAGTATTTTTTTTTAACTTCCTTACTTTTCTAGGGCCTCTGTCTACAGCACCTCTGAATTTCCTTAATTCTTGGATCAAGGTGTCGGAGGAAGGTGATCCATTATGGCCAGACATTCAGCTGTTTTTCAATGATGCCACTGCAGCCTTTGACAAGGGTGCCTTTAACCCTGCTTTATTTGGATTAGATAAACAGGTTAGTTCCTTGTTGTCTGTCCTTACTGTAATACAGCCTCTCCTTAATTAACGACGGAGCTCCATTCCTAAGACCAAGTTGGTAAACAAATTCATCGCTAAGTAAGGAGTACAGTGGAACCTCAAAAATCGAACTGCTCCCAACTCAACCAATTATGTAAATGTATTTTTGTAAGTGCTTTTATAAGTGTATTTTTGAGGGTCTGAAATGGACTAATCTAATTTACATTATTCCTGATGGGAATAAATTCATTCGGTAGCGACACTTGAACAGCCTTCTGGACCGAAGAAAGTTCTATATTTGAGGTTCCACTGTATAATATAATGGTAGTGGGTTTGTGTCATCTATCTTTGATATTGTTTTAATGTCACCTTTGCACTATTTATAAAATTTTTAGTATATTTTTAAATGTTTATACAGTAGTGTATTATATATTGTAATAAACAGAATAGAGGAAATCAGCTCTAATATACATTATTTAGGTATGCATACTGGTCAGGGAGCCCGTCGTAACTTTGAGTCGTTGGTAAATGAGTACATCACTAAGTGAGGAGAGGCTGTATTTAACAAAGGTGCTTTTAACTCTGCTTTATTTGGATTAGATAAACAGGTTAGATAATCTGGTTAACCTGACTTGGGTCCTGGAGGTGGGAAGTACATTGCCTACACTCTAGAGGGGTTTGGGATATTTGCTGTTTAGAGTGACATTGTATCTGTGCACCTCTGGAAAGACAGTGATAGTGTAAATGATGGTGAAAGTGTTTTCTCTTGGGTCACCCTGCCTCAGCGGGAGACAACCAGTGTGTTAAAAAAAAGCAGGTTAGTTCCTTGTCTGTCATATGCTTTATTGCAGCCCACTACATACCAATTTCTTTATTTCCTTTCCTGTATACAGTGGTACCTCGGGATACGAACCTAATTCATTCCAGAAGGCTGTTCGAGTGTCGATCTGTTCGAGTACCGAACGAATTTGTTCCCATAAGGACAAATTTGAAAAGTCGATTAACCCGTTTCGGCCCCCCAAAAAATCCCCTTTTTAAAAAGCTGTTAAACAAAAATACACTTACATAATTTTTTCAATTTCCCGAAACCCAAGGGTACCACTGTATACAGGGGATTTTCCCTTTGGTTTCCCAAATTTTTATTTCTTTCCCAAAAGTATTTTCAGGTGCCAGTATGAACAAATTTTTTCCCCAAAAGGGGAATATTGTGAATTAAATTGTCCCTTCAGGCCCCCCCAAAAACATACACTTTAAAAAAGCACTTCCAAAAATCACTTCAAAATTTGGGTGCTTTGGGGAGGTGACGAAAGCGGGGGTCCTTTAATATGTATTTATAATATGACAACTTCTTTTGAAACTTCAGCCGGTGCCCCTCCCCTTGGTGGGAGATGGCCGGGAAATTCCAAAAAAATTTAAATTTTTTACTGGTATGTGGGAAATTTTGAATATACGTAAAATGTTTTTTTTAAACATCTGTAGTTCATAATTTATTTTTGGTAAACAACATGAATAAATTATAAAACATTTAAGTTTGTAAATACAATATTAGTTTTTGTTATTTATTATTTTTGTAATCCTCATTATACTTTTTGGTATATTTAAAGACTAAATTCAAATGTGTTTTTAATTTTTGTCATAAAACAGAAAAATACATTTTTAAAAATAAAATGGCCCCTTAATGGCACATCGTATCGAAGTCATTTAAACCCTTTATTTTTTAAAAGCGAGGGAGAAAAAAAAAAAAATTTGTATATAAATCGTATTTTGGGAGAAAAAAAACGTTTAATAAACTTTGTAATGTATTTCATAGGTATAAAAAAATTTTACCTTAAAGGCTTTTTTTTTTTACTTTTTTTTTTCTAATTTCTTTTGGGGAAAACGGGCCAGAACTTTTAAATTTTTTTTTTCTTTGACCCCCGGCCCCCCCTTCCATGAGGAAAAGTATTTCAAAAAAGGGGGAAACCCTTTTTACCATCACTTAGTCATTTCCCAAAATAAAAGGGAAAAACAAAGGGTTTTTTTTGGGTGAAAAAAAATGAATAAAATTTAAAACACTTGCAAAGGGCGAGGGTTTTTTGATCCATAAAGGGGGGGTCTTAAACCCAAGGAAATTTTGGTTTTACTCTCCCCTTCCTTGGGTCTTAAGCACCCCCAGACACTAAATGACCCCCAGGGGTTTTTAGTCCCCCCCAAAAAAAAATAAAACACATGCGAAAGCTTCTTTTTCAAATTTTTTACCTGGATTTTTCCCCCTGGAGAGGGTTTCGGGATTAAAAAACCCCCCCTTTGGCAGGGTCTAGACCAGATTTTTTGGTTTTTGATGGGGTCCCGTTCCAACAAGGCTGTTACTGCTGGCTGTGCATTAATATGTGGGCCGCAGGTATGCAGGGATGGAACAGGTGTTCTAATTTCTCATGAAACTTTAAAAACCCTCAAAACCCAAAAAAAGCTTCTACTGCCTTAATAAGATAAGTTGGAAGACAAAAAACATCCGGAAGTTTCTTTTTGTTTTAAAACTATTACTTTTTATGATTTGAGATACAAAGGAAATTTTAAATAAAAATTTTTATTTAAATATGATACAGTGTTTGTAAGGTACGGGTAGGTTAAAACTTAAATACATTGTTTATAACGGGAACGGGTTTGGTTCAACTTGTTAAATTTTTTAAAAAGGGTTATTTTAAATTTTGAAAACATTTTTTATCCCAGGTAGGTTCAATTTAAATACATTGTTTATACGGTGGGTTAAACACAATACATTGTTTATACGGGTGGGTTCAACTTGAACTTTGTTTATAAGGGGGGTTTTAAAACACAATACATTTTTTTTTAACAGGGGGTTAAACCCTTGATACATTGTTTAACAGGAGGTTCAACTTAACTTTGGGTTTATACAGGTGGGGTTCAACCCAAAATACATTGTTTATACGGTTTTGGTTAACTTGAACTTTTGTTTTTACGGGTTTATTTTCAACACAATACATTTTTTTATACGGAATTTTTCAACAAAATTACATTTTTTCTTACGGGGAAAGTTTGGTTCATCAGGAGGGAAATCCGGGCCCGGGTTCTCTGTGGGGTGCCCTGGCGTTGTTTATACAGTAAGGGGTGAAAATTTTGGGGTGAAAATTAAAAAGCCCAGGGTTTAATCAGAGAAAATTTGGGAAAGGGCTTAAGTGGGGGAGTCCCCCTTAAAAGGGGAAAAAGTTGAAAAAAATAGTCTGTTTTTCAATGATTTTTTTTTTCCTTTAATTAAAAGGGTGGTCAGACATCTAAAACTTAAATTTTTAAATGAAGTTTGCTTTAAAAAAAAAGACTACAAATATTGTTGTTCATGGTTATAAGGAAGGTTTTAAACCCCTTGTAAGACTGCGGGTTTCTTGTCTCTCTTTCTCTCTTCTCTCCTCGTGAATATGTAAGATGGTTCAGTTTTAAATTTCCGTTTATGGGTTTGGTATAAAACTTAAACTTCACTTGTTTGTTTCATAAAAGCCTTCAAATTTTTAATTGGCAAACCCGGGGTTAAAATTGCACCAGAGGGGCCAAAGCCCCCTTAGCAAAAAATTTAAGATAAAACCCTTTTTTTTAAAACACCGGCCATCTCCCACCAAGGCAAAGTGACCCAAAAAAAAAAAAGGGAAAAATTTTAAAGAACCCAAAAAGGGGAAAAGTACTTTGACTTTTGGGAAAAATACCCAAAAAAACCTCACATAGGGGAAAAGGGTTAAGATGTTTTGCGGTCCCAAATTTGAAACCCTTTACAAATCTGTGTACAGTGGGCCCCCCCCAAAAACGATCACCCCGAATGCGACCAATTATGTAAAATGTATTTGTGAAGTGCGTTTGTTACGTTTTATGTTTTGGGGGGGAATGAAATGGATTTAATTTTACTTTACAAATTTCCTTAGGGGAAAAAAATTTCCGGGGCAGTACGGGGACCTGAACATAATTCTGGAGTGAAAAAAAATTTTCGTTAACCGGGGGTTTCCCCTGTATTAGGGGGGACCTATGTAAATTTTATAATACACGAAGGTCTTAGTGTGACTTGTCAATAAGTTCTTTCTCCCCATGTGTGGCTTATTTTTTAAAACTATCTTTTTTGATGAAGGAATTTAATTTTAAAAGTGCCATGTCATTTTTCCCTTTCAGATATTTCACGAGTTTCCTGGGTGAAATATATGGAAAAAAATTGGGTTCCCCCATAGAAACCTTTTCCTTCTGGGAGCCAAAAAAGGGGAGGAAACCCAAACTCTCTGAAGTCCAAAAAAATGTTCAAAGATCCCAAACCCCTTTTTTGATCCCCCAAAATTTCTTTCACATTTCCCGTTTATGTTAGAACCCTTGCTAAAGGTGATCAAAAAACACTCCCTCATTTAGTGAAGGGTTTTATAATTAATGTAAAGGGGTTAGGGAAGAAACCCCTGTAATGAAATACACTGAACAAAACCCTTTTAATTTACTACACTGAACAACCACTGTAATGGGCACACTGAAAAAAAAACCCCCGGGAATGGATTCCCCTAACAACCACTGTAATACCACACTGAACAACCCTGTAATGACTTTCACCCGAACAAAACCCTGTTTAAAAAAATACAAAATGAACAACCCCTGTAAAAGACTACACGCGAAAAACAGCCAGTCCCGGATTTACCGGAGAGAGTTCTGGGGGTCAACGCCCCCCCCCTGGCCCGGTCTGTTTACCCGGCCTCCTGGGGGTCAGAGCCCGATCAACCAGGGTGTTGCTGCTGGCTGCCGCAAAAACCCAAAGTAAAGAACCACAGCCCCGGCGGTCAGGAACTAGATATTAACCAGTATATGTTAGGCAAAATTTTAGCTTATCATGAAGGGGTGAAAAAAGGGGAAAAACAAAACCAAAATCAGTTTTTAAGGCTTTAAAATCAAAAACAAGAAAATTAAACCCCAAAACGTAAATGATACCAATAAAATCAACCTAACTAGCCTGGCTAGGGCTTTTTATGTCAGTTTTTGTGTTGCCCAAAAGTTAAAAAAAGCTTGGTTTTCAGGACCGGGTCCCCCATGAGGCCCGGGTCCCTTGGGGCTGGGCCAAAGGGGGCATTGCCCCGGGGAAAACCCTTCGGGTATACCCCAGGTTTTAAAAGGGTGGGTTTACAGGGCCCGATTCCCCCACAAAACCCGGTAAAGGGGCCCGGGTGAGGGGGACATGCCCCCAAGGGACCCTCCAGGTAAAACAGCAGGTATTTCCAAAAGGTATTTTTGACGTGCTTTCACACATGCCTAGTACCCAGCTTTGGCAGAAAAGATTTTTTGGGTAGCATGTTTAAAATAAGTTTTTTTTTCTGGTTTTAGGATAAAATTTTGGGTGTGGCAACCCGGGCACACCTCGACCCTTTTTTCAAAAATCTTCGGGCCAAGTTCTACGATAAGGTTAAAAAAATATTACTGTGACCTTCAGATTTTAAAATTACCTTTTAAAGTTTTTCAAAAAAAAAAAAAAAAAATAAATTTTCCTCATTTTCCCAAAAAAATTTTAAAATTGGGCCCAAATTTTAAAATTTTTTTATTTAGAAATTTATTATAAAATTCCCAAATCTTTTTTTAAAAATTTTGAATTTATTTTAAAAATTTCCAAATTTTTTTGTAAAATTTTTTCCCAAAATTTAAATTTTAAAAAATTTTCCCGTTTTTTTGTTTTAATTTTCAAATTTTTTATATTTTTTTTCCAAATTTGTTTTTAAAATTTTCAAATTTATTATAAAATTTTGATTTACTATCAATACACATAAAATATATCCCTTTTAAAAGGAAAAGTAGTAAACAAAGGGATCCTGGGGAAGACGCGAGGGGTGAATGTTTGGGAAAAAGGGGTTTTTTTTTTTTTTTTGGGGCAAAAAATTTTTCCTCGGGGGGAGCCCGGGCCCTGGTAAAAAAAAAAGGGGTTTTTTTAAAAGCATATAGAAGTAACCTTAAAAAAAATTAAAGATGTACGGGGGAAAGAATTTTTAAACATTTTTTTCTGTAATTTCCGCCCGCCTCCCCGGTGCCCCGGGATATATGGAAGCCCCTGCCTACTTTTCTTCCCCAGGCTCAACACATGTCTACCTCCTTCTAACCATCTTTTCGGGGTGGGTGCAAAATGGGCCCCCCGGCATCAGATTTCCCTTTTAAAACGGGTGGACCATCGGGCTCAGGTAAGTGAGGAAAAATAAAAGGGAGTAGAGGGAATTTTTTTTAGAAATTTTTTCCCCTGGAAGGGATTTTTTTTTAGTTTAAATTTGGGGAAAAGTTGTTGGGAATAAAGTTCCTCTCTCTGCAGTTGTTGCAATAAAATTCCTCTCTCTGCAGTTGTTGCAAAAAAGTTCCTCTCTCTGCAGTTGTTGCAATAAAGTTCCTCTCTCTGCAGTTGTTGCAATAAAGTTCCTCTCTTTTGCAGTTGTTGCAATAAAGTTCCTCTCTCTGCAGTTGTTGCAATAAAGTTCCTCTCTCTGCAGTTGTTGCAGTAAAGTTCCTCTCTCTGCAGTTGTTGCAGTAAAGTTCCTCTCTCTGCAGTTGTTGCAATAAAGTTCCTCTCTCTGCGTTGTTGCAATAAAGTTTCCTCTCTCTCCCAGTTGTTGCAATAAAGTTCCTCTCTCTGCATTTGTTGCAATAAAGTTCCTCTTCTGCAGTTTGTTGCAAAAAATTTCCTCTCTCTGCAGTTGTTGCAATAAAGTTCCTCTCTTGCAGTTGTTGCAGAAAAGTTCCTCTCTCTGCAGTTGTTGCAGTAAAGTTCCTCTCTCTGCATTTTGTTGCAATAAAGTTCCTCTCTCTGCAGTTGTTGCAATAAATTTCCCTCTCTCTGCAGTTGTTGCAATAAAGTTCCTCTCTTGCAGTTTTTTGCAATAAGTTCCTCTCTCTGCAATTGTATCTTTCTCACAATCTCTCTTTAGCATTTAGTATTGTGTGTTATGTGTGTGAGTGTTTGTGTTTGTGTGCTCCCCTATTTGTGGTTGCATTGGTTGAGTCACCACTCCTGGCCTCACCTCCTCACTGGTCGTTACTAGTCAATCTTCCTGCTGCATTAGCTTTATCATACCTCTTCTTAAGTGTGTGTGTGTGTTGTGTGTGTGTGTGTGTGTGTGTGTGTGTGTGTACTCACCTAGTTGAAGTTGCAGGGGTCGAGTCCAAGCTCCTGGCCCCGCCTCTTCACTGGTCGCTACTAGGTCATTTTCCCCTAAACCCATGAGGTTTATCGTACCTCTGCTTAAAGCTATGTATGGATCCTGCCTCCACTACATTGCTTCCCAAACTCTTCCACTTCCTGATACTCTGTGGCTGAAGAAATACTTCCTAACAATCCCTGGTATTCATCTGTGTCTTCAGCTTCCAACTGTGTCCCCATGTTGTTGTGTCCAGTCTCTGGAACATCCTGTCTTTGTCCACCTTGTCAATTCCTCCCAGTATTTTGTAAGTCGTTATCATGTTCCCCCTATCTCTCATGTCCTCCAGTGTCGTCAGGCTGATTTCCCTAAACCTCTCCTCGTAGGACATACCTCTTAGCTCTGGGACTAGTCTTGTCTAGTTTCTTTACATGCTTGGCTAGGTGTGGGTTCCAAACTGGTGCCGCATACTCCAATATGGGCCTAACGTACACGGTGTACAGGGTCCTGAACGATTCCTTTTTAAGATGTCGGAATGCTGTTCTGAGGTTTGCCAGGCGCCCAAATGCTGCAGCAGTTATTTGGTTGATGTACGCTTCAGGAGATGTGCCTGGTGTTATACTCACCCTGAGATCTTTTTCCTTGAGTGAGGTTTGTAGTCTCTGACCCCCTAGACTGTACTCCGTCTGTGGTCTTCTTTGCCCATCCCCAATCTTCATGACTTTGCACTTGGTGGGATTGAACTCCAGGAGCCAATTGCTGGACCAGGTCTGCAGCTTGTCCAGATCCCTTTGTAGTTCTGCCTGGTCTTCGATCAAATGAATTCTTCTCATCAACTTCATGTCATCTGCAAACAGGGACACCTCGGAGTTTATTCCTTCCGTCATGTCGTTCACAAATACCAGAAACAGCACTGGTCCTATGACTGACCCCTGTGGGACCCCGCTGGTCACAGGTGCCCACTCTGACACCTCGCCACGTACCATTACTCGCTGCTGTCTTCCTGACAAGTATTCCCTGATCCATTGTAGTGCCTTCCCTGTTATCCCTGCTTGGTCCTCCAGTTTTTGCACTAATCTCTTGTGTGGTACTGTGTCAAATGCCTTCTTGCAGTCCAAGAAAATGCAATCTGCCCACCCTCTCTCTCTTGTCTTACTGCTGTCACCTTGTCATAGAACTCCGGTAGGTTTGTGACACAGGATTTCCCATCCCTGAAACCATGTTGGCTGCTGTTGATGAGATCATTCCTTTCTAGGTGTTCCACCACTCTTCTCCTGACAATCTTCTCCATGACTTTGCATACTATACATGTCAGTGACACTGGTCTGTAGTTTAGTGCTTCATGTCTGTCTCCTTTTTTAAAGATTGGGACTACATTTGCTGTCCTCCATGCCACAGGCAATCTCCCTGTTTCGATAGATGTATTGAATATTGTTGTTAGGGGTACACATAGCGCCTCTGCTCCCTCTCTCAGGACCCATGGAGAGATGTTATCTGGCCCCATTGCCTTTGAGGTATCTAGCTCGCTCAGAAGCCTCTTCACTTCTTCCTGTGTGTGTTGTGTGTGTGTGTGTGTGTGTGTGTGTGTGTGTGTGTGTGTGTGTGTGTGTGTGTGTGTGTGTGTGTGTGTGTGTGTATGTGTGTATGTGTGCATACTCACCTATATGTGGTTGCAGGGGTTGAGTCATAGGGTGTGTGTGTATTTATATATTTATTTATTATTTCTTTCTTTATTTATTTGGGCCGCTCATTATTAATAATTTTAAACCATTTATTTACGACAGGGTGCGTGGGGTGAGTAGACTACGTGTGGTGGATGCCTCTATCATGCCTTTCGTCACCTCAGGTAATACTAATGCTCCCACTATTATGATTGCTGAGAAGGCCAGTGACATGATCAAGCAAGAGTGGAAGATTGCGGAAAAGTTCCATACATAACTAACACTAGAACCGCTGCCAAGGCTTGGTGTCACACACAGCAAGAAATGCAGGAGACTTCAAGCAACTTTATCCTTTATCTTATAAAATAGTACAACAGCCAGACAGACCTCAGCTCAAGATGCAACAATATGGAGAAATTTGAAAGTACGAAACCTGCAATACTACTGTTAGGACAATTCACGTCTAACTCACAATTTAAGGAGGCAGCTGGAGGATGCTTTGTTACATCCTAGAAAGTAAGTTTATTTAGGTACAGGTACATATAAGTACAATTATCATACATAGTGTAAATTAGTTATAACCCAAAAAAGTCAGACAAATTCACTTATGTATTTCCATTGGGGTCCTTGACATTATCTAACCTCATCAGGAAAGGCTGATGCAACTAATCTGTCTTGGTTTCATTGAGCAATATTGAAAAAACCTAGCAGACCATGTGAGGGATAATTACATACAGCCTCTCTTCACATAGCGATGTGCTCATTTACCAACGACTTGGACTTATGACAGGCTTTGTGACCAGTATACATACCTAAATAATGTATATTAGAGCTGATTTCCTCTATTCTCTTTATTTCAATATACAGTACACTACTGTATAAATATTTAAAAATATACCAGAAATTTTACAAACAGTGCAAAAGTGACATTAAAACAATATCAAAGATGGTTGATACAAACCCACTACCATTATAGTATGCTCCTCACTTAGCAACGAATTCGTTTACCAACGTGGTCTTTGGAATGGAACTCTGTTGTTAAGCGGGGAGAGGCTGTATACAATATCTAACCACAGTTATCGTGCCATTCAAAAGAGTAAGGGAATTTAAATGACAAAGCTGAAATCAGCATATAAATTCAGGTAATGCTGAAGTCCAAAACAATGGTTTATGAAAAATATCAAAGGTCGACCACTCTTATCTTGTCTAGATTTATGTAGTTATTGCGTGTTGGGATTAGTCTGTCCGAATTGCCCCGGCATGATAGTGGCTTTCTTTGTACTTAGCAAACCAAAATTTTAATTACACATTGTAATCTTTACAAAGAAATAAAATCTTTATTCTTTTTATTCTTTATCTCCATTTTTTCAGTTAACCAAGTTATAAAACCCATGTCCAGTTTTAAATTGTTACAGTAAAATGCAACAGATATAAAAAAGCAATTTTCTGCATAAAATGTCTGACCTAATAAAGGTTTTATGCACTTTCACAATTATCTAACCAATGTAACCTTCATCAGTTTTATATCTTAAGTGACCCTTAACACATCCAGTTCATTCTTGGTATTGGCCAAAATATCCAGTGTAATATAATATAATAATAAAATCTAATAATAATAATATCTTTATCTACTACCAGTACATGTACAAGGTATACAGACCATAGCTGACATCAATGACATACAGTGGACCCCCGGTTAACGATATTTTTTCACTCCAGAAGTATGTTCAGGTGCCAGTACTGACCGAATTTGTTCCCATAAGAAATATTGTGAAGTAGATTAGTCCATTTCAGACCCCCAAACATACACGTATAAACGCACTTACATAAATACACTTACATAATTGGTCACATTTGGAGGTAATCGTTATGCGGGGGTCCACTGTACTAATATATAGAAAGTCACTTGTTATGCTGAGTATTTCCTGCAAATTAGGTCAGTTTTGTCCCAGGATGCGACCCACACCAGTCTACTAACACCCAGGTACCCATTTTACTGATGGGTGAACAGAGACAACTGGTGTAAGGAAACACATCCAGTGTTTCTACCCCATTATTTTTTCTAGCATGGATTATTTTAATGTTAGCCACAGATATTTTGAAAACACAATTCTTCACAAATCTTCCACAAGAAGAAGTCGAAAGATGTGACATCAGGGAAGTATGTGGGACATTTCATGGTGCCATTTTGCCTAGTTTATTTGCCAAGGAACTTGATGTTACAATAATTATGCTAGTGTATGCAGAGAATTGCCTCTTCATATGACTCACGAAATTGTAATGACACGATTGCAAACAAACCATACCACGGGCGGGATTTGAACCCGCGGTCAGAGAGTTCAAATCCCGCCTGTGGTATGGTTTGTTTGCAATCGTGTCATTACGATTTCGTGAGTCATGTTGACGGCAGTGAGGGGACTTGAGCTAGAGTTCGTCACGGCCATGCTAGCTGGAGATTTGTCTGTAAAAACTTGCATTTGTGGTCACAGTGGTGCCTATGCTAACCTTCCTATGGTGTAGAAATATACCTAGTTGGACGAATCTTTTTGTGGCTAGCTGGTCCAGTGGCTAACGCGATGGTCTGGAGTTTTGAGACTCTCTGATCGCGGGTTCAAATCCCGCCCATGGTATGGTTTGCCTCTTCATATGTTTTAATACATTGTATAATGTTATGTCAGCACTATAGTGTGTCTGCAGTTTCTTTGAATCCCCTTTATAAATGTTACCTTGCCCACACTCCAACAGCATGTCAAGTCATATACACATCTTCATTCACTCTCCTCTAACATGCTCACACAAGCCTGCAGGATGCTCAAGCCTCTAGCACTCAAAAGCCTCCTTTAATCCCCTCCCTTCAGCTCTTCCTGGGATGATCCATACTCTTCCTTCCCTCCACTCTGGATTTATCTCCCCATCCTCCTTCGTTATTCCTAAATTCCCAAATCACCTCAACAACCCCGTAATCAACCCTCTGACTTATACCTTTGGTAACCCCACATCATCTTAGCAAAGTGTAAAACTTGTATGGGTCCTAGAGTTTTTTTTTTTTTACAGATCTTGTAAACATAGCGACTGAAAATAAAGAATCTAAATCTAAATCCCTGGTTTGTCTGGTAAGGAGATAGCAAGTACAGTACATGTACATGGAAGGAGTTCTGAGGGTCAATGCCCCCATGGCCTGGTCCACGGCAAGGCCTTGTGGTGGATCAGGACCTCATCAACCAGGCTGTTATTGCTGGCCACATGAAAATCAATTTAGGAACCAAGGTACCAAGTTTAGGTGCCTGTCCAGCTCCCTCTCGAAGACAGCCAGGGGTCTTGAAGACAGCCAGGGATTTTAAAGACAGTCAGGGGTCTTGAAGACAGCCAGGGATCTTGAAGACAGTCAGGGGTCTTGAAGACAGCCCGGGGTTGAAGAC